GAAGGGGCCCGAGCCATCCTCCTCCTCCTCCTCCCAAAGGGCCGGGTGCGTGCCAACGTTCGCAGCCCCCCAGCCGTGGGGCTGACACGGGCAAGGGGAAAGCAAACCATGCCGTGGGGAGCGTGGGAGGTGGCACAGCTCCTGCCCGGCGGGACGACCTCTCGGGTACCATTTTGTTTTCCCCTGGTGACCCTTCCTCGCCGCTCCCTGCCCGCCCAGGACCTGCACAAGATCAAGGCCTGCCAGCTGGCGCAGTACAAGGACCTGACGGCTCAGAAACTCACCGAGTCCGACAAGCTGCTCTACGTGCTGGATGGGGACGCGGCCATCGCCCGGCACATGAAGCACCCCCAGGGTGACATGATCACAGAGGAGTGAGTAGCGGGGTGGGGGGAGACCTGTCCCCAGAGCCTTGCTGGGGGGGTAGGATGCTTCTCTGGGGGTTCTGCTCTGCAGCTGGGGGAGACATTGAACGTCTTCCTCTGCCCCAAGCCCCGTGGGGTGCCAGCTGCCCGCCGCGCAGGCAGACCATGCTCTCCCCCAGCACCAGCCTGCCCAGAGCTGGTGGATGTGCTGAGCAGCCCTTGGCCAGGGACGGGTGTCCGGGAACCTTCGCCTTCTCCCTCCCCAACCAATTGCACAACGTGGCAGCTGCCAGCCCTGGGCTCGCGGGGTCCCTAAGGACAGTCCGCCCTGGGAGAGGATCATCTACAGCTACCGATGCTAATGCCCACGTCCTGCATCTCACCTTCATCCTTCCCTTCCTGGCAGCATCCGGCAGCTGAAGGAACAAGTGGCAAACTTGCGTGTGAAACACGACCAGATCTACAGCTTCCCCCAGCAGCACATCGAACCTCAGGTCAACTGGGCAACAGTGATCGAGGAGAAACAGGTACCAAGGGGACCGTCAGGGCCACTGCCTGGTCAGCAGCACCAGCCTGGGATGGGCAGGACCTTGTGCAGGACCTTGATGCACAGAGAAAGAGGCTCCTGGAAACCTTCTTGGCTGCTTGATACTGGGAGCAGCAAACAGCATGGGAAGGAGGTGGGGTGCTGGGTGCCAGGGGACAGTGTGGAGGTGGTGAGACAAGGCCAGCTGCTGTGGCTCCTAGGGCTCAGCCTGGCTATTGACCTCTTGGGCAAACCTCTGCCCTTCTCCATCCGAGGACAGAGGCCGCGCTTCCTCTCCAGGCAATGTTCTCCAACGCCCCACTGTCCTGAGAGTGGAAGAGCTTCTCCTTCTGCCCAGTCTGCGCTTCCCCCGTTTCAATTGACGCCTGTCATCTCTCATCTCTCATCTTCCTACCACACCCCACCCTGCAGAGCCCGGCTCCCTTTGCTCAACAACTTCCCTGTGGTCACGGGAAGGATGCTGTTAGGTCCTCCCCAAAGCCTTCTCCTGCCAAGGCTGAACCAGCCTCAGCCTCTCCTCTTGGGTCCTTGGCTTGGCACCCCCAGCCACCCCCTGCTTTGGGCTCTACCCTGTGGCCCTTCCTCTTCATTTTATCCCAGCACCACACTCTTCCAGCCAGAAAAGGGTTAAAACCCCCAAAATGGCCTTCCCATGGCCACCATCCAGCATGGCCACCTTCACCCACGGGCTCCCAGGCGCTCACACGCTGCCAACACCGGAGCCCAGCCAAGCCTGACCAACGTGTCCATCTCCAAGAGGGGGTTCCTAGACCTCAGCCAGCGCATCCCATTCCTCCCTTGCTGACCTCAGCTTCCATGTGCCACAGGACGCGTTATGCAGCAAGGGCTTCGGGACCGACCTGCCACTAGTCAACAGCCAAGTAGAAGAGCACAACATCTTCCACAATGAGGTCATGGCCATCGGCCCACACATCGCCAAGGTCAGCTCTCCTGCCCCTCTCCCTGCTGCCCCACAGGGTCGGCCCCCTCCCAAGGCACTGGTGAAGGTGAGGGCATCCCACCATCCAAGCTCCTACACCCTGGGTCAAGTTGGGTGGTCGCCCAGATCCACACCTGACCTTGGAGTTGAGCGTCGTACACCGACTCCAGCTTTAATCCCATAAACCCCACATCCCCCTCCCTCATCCAGCCCCTAACTCTTGCCTCGCTTCTCCTCTATCACCAGGAATTCACGAGCGACTTCCAAGCCAAATACCAGAAGCTGCTGGTAAGAGACCTCTGAGATGCCGGGGGCAGAGCCCTGGGCAGAGATCCCTCACCAGGGTGGCCAGGCACCCCCAGGGGACCCCTGGAGATGAACTTTGGGCTGAGCTCTACCCTCTGCTCCTTCCCAGGCTGGCTCCCAGCAGCGGCAGCAGGATCTGCATTCCCTGCAGGACTACATGCAGCGCTTGGCTGGAGCAGCAGGCGAAGGACAGGACCCGTTACGACTGGAGCGACCACAACCTGGACTACCCCAGCCGGCCCCGCCAGTACGAGGTCCGTGCGCGCTCACCTGCAGCCCGGCCCCGCGCCGCCTGGGCACTTTGCAGGAAGGGAGGTGGGCATGGAGCCGTGGGAGCAGGCTGAGGGTTGGATGGGGGCAGGAGACATCCCTTCCCCTGTGCCTCAGTTTTCCCCACTCCATCACGAAGCACTTTGAGACGTCCAGATGATAACGCATGGATAGTAAGGTTAGTCTTTACCTCCCACCAGTGATAAAGCAATGAGGAAGGTCGAGGGTGAGCTGCCTCATTCTCCTCTCCCTTATCTCAGCATTCACTGGGCAAGAGGCAGATCTTTAGCAACATCTGAAGGGAAGAACGTCACGTTTTCTGTCTTGTGGAGCTGGTCAGGCCCTTTCAGAGTAGCTCGGTCACAGGACGCGGCCAGGGTGTCCCCTCTCTTTGCATGGGGATCAGTATCTCACCTCTCTCCATCTAGAACTTCATCCACCGGAAGCTGGAGGAGAAGGAGGAGGCCATCAACAAGCTGCACGCGGATGGAGATCAGCTGCTCGCCCAGAATCACCCCGGGAAGAACGCCATCGAGGTGAGCATCTGGGATGGGTTCCAGCTTCCCCACCCACCCTGCAGCTCGGGGGACTCGCCCAGCCCTTCTCCAGTGCGGGACCTGGTGCCAACATGACTCTTGACTTTACTTCCCGAGATGCCAAGCGGGAAAAACGCTCCTTCACCTGCAAGTGTGTAAACACCATCGGAGGAGCCGAGATAAACCTGAGTAGCTCTTCCCATCTTCCTCATTCCTGTGGCGATTACGCTGTGCCTGCCTACAAAGGATAAATTATGGTGGCAAGTTCCACCTTTGATGGGAAAATGGACATAAGGCCACAGGATTTGCCACCTCCTTCCACCCAGCCCCACGCTCCCATCGGAGCATCCCAGCTTTGGACACGCTCTCTGGTATTCCCATCCTAGCATTGACCTGAGAGCATCTGGGTGGCTTCCGAGGCAGCCAAGGAGTCGTTTGCTCGAGATGGAAACGGGTGTTTTCCGGGAAACGTGGGGTGTCCTGCTAAGGTCCACCTCCTGCCCCTGCCTTGCAGGCTCACATCGAGGCGGTGCACGCCGACTGGAAGGAGTACCTCAACTTGCTGATCTGTGAGGAGAGCCACCTGAAGTTCATGGAGGACTTCCACAAGGTACCGCGTCGCTGGGGACAGTGGGGCACTGTTTGCCCTGCACAGTAGGTGCTGGCTTGCAGGAGATCCCAGAATACCAACAAACTCCAGCTGCTCTGGAAATGGGGTAGAAGAGATTGAGTCCTCAAGTCTCAGGGCTCTTAAGGCTCGGAGGACCACCTTGAGCTGATATAATGAGTCATAATTGCTCAAGCACCAGAGGTCAGCAATTGCTTGGCCAAAGCATGGCTTGGAGAAGGCATCTGCTCCAATTCCGGGGTTCAAGGGCCACAGCCTGGCGTCGGCACCCTTGTCCGCAGGACAGCGGAGGTGTCTTGAAGAGGTACCTCCCCCCCAGAAGAAGGCACGGGGAGACCTTGCATGCTCCGCTCGGAAGCGGAACAGGTCCGAGGGGGAGGTCGCACCTGCAGAAAGCAGAGTTGGCCCCAGCTGAGCTTTGCAGACGGGTGTCTGCTGGAGAAATTGCATCTGCCAGCCAGGGAGGCTCTGCGGGGGAGCAGGTCGGGCTGGATTCCTCTCCCACAGCCTGGGCGTGTTGA